AGAGTGGCAGCGCGTGTGTCTGATGGACAGATGGATGAGCAGGCTGATCAGCAGAGGGTACACCCCCCACAGTTCAACGGGATACAGGAAACACTCCTGTCCTCCCAGAAGCAGTGCTTGAATTGGAATGAAAAAGGTGCCAGTACTCTAAAATCAGCAACTTTTTCAAGTCAATTTTATATATACAGCCCACAAACAAGAATTTGGCTACTATAATGCTGGTGGGTTTGTCTCTTTACTACTGTATATTTTAGAAAGGTTCACTGTACTTAACATTTTTATGATAGGCAGCGGATATGGCTAAAGCTCAGTAAGGTCAATATTAACTGAAAATATAGCAATCAAAGTCTAGATCTTCTGCTGAAGACACATGAAGCAGAGACCTTTCAGGTGAGAGCCCCTCTGGTGGTGTTCAACATTAATGACAAGGAAACAAAGCTCTGGTCAGAAGCATTTTTTATAAAAAGCTTTAACAAATTAAGTATTTCTGTACATTTTGAATGCAATCTAACTTTCCAACTCAGAAAACGAAAAACGAAAAAGTGCCAAAAGTCTTCTCACATGGCTGAGCTGCTTTGCAATATACTTCACCACTGAAGAATACAAATATGGTTAAAGTAAACTATGATGCAATCTAACTTTCCAACTCAGAAAAATGATAAAGAGCATGAACAAAGAACATGTAAAAACAAATGCAAAATTTGCACAATCTAAAATGAGAAACTGTAACTGCAAGTAACAAAGTCTGAGCCATGGTAAAGAGTTACATTGAACACCAAGCTGATCAGATAACTCCCTGGTTGGTCTGAAGTCCTTCTATCTCCAGGATCTGTACAAATCGGCACATTATGCCAAAAGTCTTCTCACTGGGTGAGCTGCTTTGCAATATACTTCACATTGTTAGAAAAGGCTCCAGAAGGCCTTGGGGACATCAGTATCAGGGGCTGGAGCTGGACAGGCTCTTTCATCAGCACTTCTCCTTCCCTTTGCCAACCAGGACCTCACATACTGTTCCGGATTGAACTGTCCTAGTGATGGTCCATTACATTTAATGAAAACCAGGCTGGACAGTCGGCTGACAGAGAGAGCATTCCTTTTTGCAGTAAGGATATCGTTCATGCAGCTGAATGCCCGCTCACACCCACTAGTGGAGACAGCGATGGTTCGGACTGCTTTCAGTAGAGGCTCCATGGCAGCAGGTGTACGGGATGCCCTGGTTTCCTTGTATTCGCGAAAGCCCTGAACAGTCTCTCTTCTGTCCACTTTCAGCACTTCGCACAAACGTAGCACCTCTACGTCCCCATACTGTACGTCTAACTCCTCTTCAGGCCAACTTCCAGGATGGATAACTTTCATGTCCTGGATTAGCTGATTGTCCCGGGCCTCCCGGCCATGTAATGGGATTTCTCTTGTGCTGACATGAGAGGAGGTTGTGGAAGTCATTCTGTGTCTCAGATTCTCTACCATACTGCGGAAAAACTGACCTGCATGAATCTGTACAAGCCTGCCATTCTCACGCAGGGCAACACCCTTGAAGGACTTCTCAGCTAGAGCTGTATGAACTGTAGTCATGTGTGGGCCAGGCATGGTGACCATGGATTCAAAAACTCGTATTTCTCGAGTTAAGAGCCTATCTGCTGTAGGCAGTGTCATCTCTCTTTTTTGGAGTTGCCGAGAGAGGTCGCTGAGCTCTGTGAGCGCATCGTACATCAGTCCCAGATTGCTGACAAACGTTGCAGATGTGAGCACATCATCCAGGCCCTTGTACTTTGCTCTGTCTCTGGAATCCCTGCTCGTGTCGTTTGCAGCATTTGTGAAGTGATTATGAAGCACTCGGTAGTTTTCCCAGACTGCTCTGACGCTCCTTTCACTTGAAGCCACCCAGCGGATGGACAAAACACGCCCTATCACCAGGAGACGCTGTCCCGACTGCTTGCGCACACTGCGCTAACTGCCTCTGATTTTTGGGGGAGGCATGGAACAAGGAATAGAGTTTGTCAAAAAAGATCTGGAAATGATTGAGCCCTGAGACCTCCTTGACCACATCCCCAACTGCCAGCTCTAGACGATGATTGGAGCAGTGCCACACAAACAGGCTTGGGAATTTACTACACAACTGGGTAGCAACGCCTGTTCTCTTCCCTAGCATGACTGAAGCCCCATCACATGCAAAAGAAACGAAACACTGACCTAAAAAGTCCTCGTTAAAATCTCTTCCAAGACACTCCATTAACGCCTTTGTGATGTCATCAGCCGTTGTTCCATCCAACTCGATCAGCTCCCAAAAAAACGTTTCGGGCTCAGCATCAGCTAATGCTGAGCGTAGACACACAACAAGCACCGTTGTACCACTAATAGTGGTAGATTCATCGACCAAAACACAGAGTTTGCTTTGGTTTTCTGTAATGTCTTTTGCTATTTTTCTTCAGCTCATGAGCTATGTGGTCGATGATTTCGCCACAGGTTTTATTGGAGTGCAAAACCCTGCCCACGTTCAGCCCATTCAGTTTCTGTACATTCAAATCAATTGGCATGTCTGTGAATGGCCGGCTATGTTTGCCAATTTTATATGCCGTTCGAAAAACTCTGATAGTGGTGTCTAATTCAGATGTATGCATAGACTGCACTTGATGTTGAATAGTTTCACGTGAAGCAGATGTAAGGATGTCAGCAGCTTTTACATGGGCTTGTGATTCTTTATGTTCTTTGATTTTTTTTTCTCAGGCTAGCTTGTTGTTTGCCCTTGTCAACACCGAAATGAGACACTGCACACTCACCCCATTCAGTTGACAGTTTCAGTCCTTGTCCAGTGTGTATTCCCAAAGATTTGACATCTCTGCATATCCGACATCCTAGCTTCTTATCTTTAAGAAGGAGCCATGCATTGGTCTTGCAAAAATATTGCACCTGGTCCGTTGTCCAGCAGTCAGGTGCATCGCTTTGCCCGGTGTTGGTGGTGGCAGTTGCGCCAGCAGCAGCTAACGTTAGAGGCTCTGGAGGAGGCGGCGGAGCTAGTGCTAATGCTAATGCACTAGAACTTGGAGCAGGAGGATCAACCAAAGAAAGCTCCCCATCAGACACAATTTCCAACACAGGCACAGCATTCTCTGTATTTGAAGTTTCTTCCGGCGACAACCGCTGTCTTTTTGCACTTTTATTAATCCACGCTAACATTTTAGAAATGCTAATTTGTGACGTGACTTGCTTTCCTTCTCTCGGGGGCGTGCCTGCTCTGTTCTATCACTCTACATAGCCACCCACTGGGTGGGAGTTGCACTGCATAAACACAACACACGTGCATCTAGGTATGTAAATTGTAAAGCATTAAAACATGGTTTTACTAACAGTTTTCAGTATGTTGTTACTTCGGCATTATTATTATTATTATTTTGAAACGTGTATTACTATTAAATCACGGTCAAATAGGTTAATTTTGACAGTCGTTTCCACCACAGTATTTACATGGAGAAGATAAGCCCCGCCCCCTCTCCAGCACGTTCTGTTTGAATGACGGGAGTAAACAGCTGACAGCCGCTGTGAAACTCCAGCGGTTAGAGCGATGAGAATGTCCGTTCGGCACCTCATGACGCATCTACTGAGTACCGGGCGGCTGTATATATATATATGGATATATAATAAGAACGGCGGGAGAGTGTTGAGTACTGGGAGAGTGTTGAGTACTGGCACGGTGCATGAGTACCGCCAGCATGCCGGTACTGAGCAAGAAGTGCCGGTACTCCATGGGTCAGAACCAGAAGTGCCGGTACTGCGTACCGGTGAGTACCGGCCCAATTCCAGCACTGCCCAGAAGCTATGTCTTGCGCTCCAATCCGAGCCGCTGGAACTCCTGTTGAAAGAGGATATTTCCAGGGTTCCTCAAAGGGAGGAAAATCAGGGGTTTTCACTCCCGTTAATTTTCTAATCCCGAAAAAGACTGGGGCAATGAGACATCCTCGATCTGTCAGTATTCCACATGCTGACGATCAAACAGGTGCTGGAATGTGTTCACCAGGACGACTGGTTCACTTCCACCTGAAGGATGCATACTTCCACGTACCCATCATCCCGAAACACAGGAAATTCCTGCGGTTTCTCATTTCAGGGAATATCAGACCAGACAATCGTCTGCCGTTCGGATATTTCCTGGCTCCTCCCGTTTTTGTGTAGAGAAGGCTGGAGCCGCTACACAGAGGAGGGATGAGAGGGTGGTTTTCTCTGGACGACCTGCTATTGGCTGGCTCGCTCCAGGGAGGAAGTCGCTTTACAGACGGTACATCTTGTATCGCATCTGTCAAAGCCTGGGTTTCATAATAAATTGGAAGAAGAGCTGTCCTCTTCCCTCTCAGACAAACGGTTATCTGGGAGTGGAATTAAACTCAGCCAGCAGAGCGCGGCTCTCGCGGCAGCGAGTGGAGAAACTGACAGCTCTCCTCCGGCATGTCACAACCCACACAGCCCTCTCCGTGACGCAGCTGCTCGGCGTTGGCGTCAGCTGGTCACGTGATGATCCCCTTGGGTCTCTTCCAAAAGGGGGACACTTCAGAGGTGGTTCATTCGCTGCAGAAGCCTGCTGTTTTTAACCTATTGGTTTATAAACTGCAGAGTTCGCGGCATTCCTCTGTCCCAGATATGCCTCCTACACACGGTCATAATAAATCCACGAGCACCGTTATAACGCCTCGTGTGGACAGCATACACACACCTCTCATCCTCTGGGCGTGTACGCGCCTCATGATGAGAGACGGAGTGGAATGCAGCGTGTGGAAACTCCCTCGCAGCCAGCGGCGGCGTGGCACATCACCATGACGACCATTATGGCACATCACAGAGAAGCCTCTCCCCCCAGAAGTTCCATGGGATACAAGTTACTGTCGAGCCGTTAGTGGCCGACTCCGCCTACTAAGGGCTTCACGGCAGCTCTGCAGAATCCTATGGGTGACGTCACGGACCCTACGTCCATTTATATATACAGTCTATGGTCTGAAGTGGTTTAGACTCACGGCCTCGGTGCAGTTCTTGTTCTTGTTGCTGTAGAAGTCGCACGTCCCCTCGCTGCAGCAGAACGTCTGCAGCTCGCTCCACAGGAGGCTTCCCAGCAGCCCGTGGTAATAGGCGAAGTAAACCAGAGAGTTGTCGTTCATCTCGTAGCTCGACATCCCGTTTCCCACGGCAATGCCCTGCGAGACACGTGACTCAGTGTTAGCAATGTAAGATAATAAAAGAGACATTGTATTGTACATGGCATTAGAGAAATTAAAAGACTAGAAATAAACTGCACGTCGATTTTGAGAGAGTCAGAATTTTGAGAAAGTCAGAATTTTGACATTTGTCATACATGACGGGATGTATGATTACCTACAAGAACCGGTATTCCTCCATCTTGTGACTGTGTAACTCCCTCTCTTGGATATCAGCATGTGAAGGACACTGTTCAGGAACTAGCTGATGCTCTGTATGTGATGACTACTTCCATTCTTGAGGATCATAAATACACAGATCCTGAGATTGAAGCTCAAGCCGTGACCAGTGAGAGTTTTCTAACAAGTAGCATCAGTGTTTACCTGCAGGTTGAGGGTTGAGTCCTCCATCACTCTCTCAGCCAGCGTTGGGATGTAGATTCCTCCGTAACTCTCACCTGTGAGGAACAGCTCGCTCTTACTGAACTCTGGAAACAGCCGGAAGAACTCCTTCAGAGCCAGGTAGTTGTTCATCGACACCTGAGGAGGAAATATAAACAAAAACACACTCAGCCTCAGTTCGAGTGACAATCAGAAGCCGAAACTCAGTCCGAGAGCCAATCAGGAGCAGAGACTCAGTCTGAGAGACAATCAGAAACCGAAACTCAGTCTGAGAGCCAATCAGGAGCAGAGACTCAGTCTGAGAGCCAATCAGGAGCAGAGACTCAGTCTGAGAGACAATCAGAAACCGAAACTCAGTCTGAGAGCCAATCAGGAGCAGAGACTCAGTCCGACAGCCAATCAGGAGAAAAGACTCAGTCTGAGAGCCAATCAGGAGCAGAGACTCAGTCCGACAGCTAATCAGGAGCAGAGGCTCAGTCCGACAGCCAATCAGGAGCCGAGACTCAGTCCGACAGCCAATCAGGAGCCGAGGTCTGAGTCACTGACCTCGGTGTCGTTGGTGACGTAGTTTTTATCGTCCGAGTACGAGAATCCGACCCCTGCTGGAGACTCCAGGTACAACACGTTGGCAATCTGCAAGGAAAACGTGAACCAATCAGCTTCCAGGAATCACAACAACAACATTGAGATGCTAGGTTTGGTCACATGACTGCCCGCATTTCAATGTAAATACTGCTATATTTATTTATTTTAAACTTTGTTTTTTTCAACAGCATACAGAGCACGTATCAAAAGTAGGTAAACAAATCTTCACTTTATAGAAAAATAGGTAGAGTAATAATGTAAATACTGCTTAAAAGGTGGGGTAGGTAACTTTGGAGAAAGCAGCTCGAGTGCGCTAGAATGAGAAAATACACAACCTGAGAAAATCTGCCACTTCCTCACAGAGCCCCTCCTCCAACACACACGAACGCGCACATGACCAATGAGGGCACGAGATCAGTTTGTGCACAGATGGAAGGCTGACAGGCAGGTAGGCCATCCAGTTACTTTAGCCGGCTCAGATGATTGGTCGTGCTTTTTACACGGCTTCCAGAGGTGATATTTCTTTATGGATTTTTTGTCAAAGCACTTCAGATATTCATTGCTATCGGGATGTTAAGAGCATTCCATGGAATATAACAAAGTATATCTCGAGCCGGTTTCTCAAATTAAACTACCCCACCTTTAACTATAAAAATAGTAATAATAATGTTAGTATAGCTTTCTTAAAATAGTTTTCTATCAGTGTTTTTAATTTTTGTTTTACTTTTATGTATGCACCACAACATCAAGTCATATTCCTCGCACATGTACCAGGTAATAAACCTGATTCTGAGTCTCACCTTGTTCCAGGAGTACGGGTTGTACTGCAGCGTCGCTCCGTCATCCTGGATCTGAAACAGAAGGGCAAGCAGAGAGTCAGATATTCTGGAAAACCTTCTGGAATATCTTTAATTACACAAATGCTGCCGACTCGTCTCACTACCATAATGTCAATATGAACGCAAACATTGAGCTGTTTACAGTAAATATCACCGTTTACTTATTTTATCCGTACAGCTGAATTTAAAGTCTATGCTCCCATAATGCTTTTTGGTGCTAGACGTTTCTAAACAATCAAATTGGGATGAGACTCATGAAAGAAAAGTCGGAGAAAGAAAGTGAGAAATTCAGAAAATAGGCATATTTGAGGATTATGGAAAAAAAGTCAATTGTCTGAAAAAAGTCAAAATTCGGATTTAAAAAAAAAAAATAGATATTAAAAATTCTGAAAGCAAAGTAAAAATTCAGATATTAAAAGCGTACTTTATACAATCCAGTGTTTCCCCTACCATTGTCTTTTTGATATATAGCACCAAAGCAGCCTCCCTCTCCTCTGTCATCATCCTGTTGGACCTGTCTGCTGCATTCGACACGGTGAATCATCAGATCCTCCTTCACACTCTCCAAAAACTTGGAGTTTCAGGCTCTGCACTTTCCCTCCTCACCTCATACCTGAAAGACCGTACCTACAGGGTGACTTGGAGAGGGTCTGAGTCCGACCCTTGTCAATTAACTACAGGGGTCCCTCAGGGCTCTGTTCTTGGTCCCCTCCTCTTCTCCCTGTACACAAACTCGCTCGGATCAGTCATTTGCCCGCATGGTTTTTCATACCACTGCTACGCTGACGACACCCAATTAATTCTGTCCTTTCCCCGCTCAGAGACCCAGGTCGTCGCACGCATCTCTGCTTGTCTAGCTGACATCTCTCAGTGGATGTCTGCTCATCACCTCAAGCTCAACAAGACTGAGCTGCTCTTCCTTCCGGGAAAAGATTGTCCCACTCTTGACCTAACAATCAACATCGGCACCTCAGTTGTTTCCCCGACTCAGACTGCAAGGAATCTGGGTGTGACCCTAGATAACAACCTGTCCTTCACTGCAAACATCGCTGCAGATACACGGTTTACAACATCAGGAAGATACGTCCCCAGCTGACTCAGAAAGCGACTCAGGTTCTGGTCCAGGCTCTCGTCATCTCACGCCTAGACTACTGCAACTCCCTCCTGGCTGGTCTACCTGCATGTGCCATCCGACCTCTGCAGCTCATCCAGAATGCAGCGGCTCGTCTGGTCTTCAACCTTCCTAAATTCTCCCACACCACTCCGCTCCTCCGCTCCCTCCACTGGCTTCCGGTAACTGCTAGAATCCACTTCAAGACAATGGTACTAGCTTACCATGCTGCGAATGGATCTGGCCCTTCCTACATCCAGGACATGGTTAAACCGTACACCCCAGCACGTGCACTCCGCTCTGCATCAACCAAACGACTCGCTGCACCCTCGCTGCGAGGGGGACCCAAGTTCCCATCGGCGAAAACACGTGGGTTTGCTGTCCTGGCTCCAGGATGGTGGAATGAGCTCCCCATTGACATCAGGACAGCAGAAAGCTTACATACCTTCCGGCACAGACTGAAAACTCATCTCTTTCGACTCCACTTCCAGCGATAGAATTACTAACAAAGCACTTTTATACTAATAAAGGACTGGATTACCTAAAGCCAGTTGAGTAGCACTTGAAATGTTTGGCTCTATGAAACCTGATATACTTATATGATTCTGTTTTCTTCAAGGTTGTATTTTGTTGGTCGAATGTACTTATTGTAAGTCGCTTTGGATAAAAGCGTCAGCTAAATGTAATGTAATGTAAAATTGCAACCAATCTATATCTACTGTCACTTTTCACATTGAACATGTGCTCTTTTATTAAATAAACTAAACGCTTTCATTCCAAGTTTTGAGTTTAGTGTTTCTGACCCCAAGAAACACTGATGCATTAATCAATAACAATAATCCACAGCTCCTCTCTCTGCTCCCCCCCCCCCTGCTCAGGCAGCACCCCCCCAAAGCAGTAAACCTAGGGGAAACACTGCAGTTTATGCTCCCATAATACTTTTTGGAGCTAGACATTTCTAAACAATCAGATGTATAGATTTTCAGTAGAAAGCTGTTCTCAGGTGACCCACCAGGTAGGGTCCGTGCTCAGTGAGCAGTCCGTCCAGAGAGCTGCATCCTGGGCCTCCGTTCAGCCACAGCACCAGGGGGTCCGAGGACGGGTCCTCCTGGGACTCCACCAACCTGAACACAGTCTGTTAGGCACTCTTGCAAAAAGGACAAATATTGTCACTTTATATATATAGTATAAAAGACTACATTTCCCAGACTCTTAAGAGACGCCAAAACTCACACTGTACATTTATGTTCAATCTAATAATCCATTCCTCACACACTTAATGTATATACAATATCCTGCTTTATATTTTGTTACTGTACATTTGTATTTTTTCTACTTTTTTTTTTTAATGCTATTTTATTTCTATTTGAGATGTTTACATTTTGGATTGTTTATTTCTAGTCATTTCATTTCTCAAATGTACAATGCCTTATTGTACAGCTGCAACGCAAACAAGTCCTACATTGGGATCAATAAAGTACTTCTTATCTTAACAGTCTCTCAGTCCTCACCAGTAGTGCAGATGCTTCCCGTCGGCCACGTTCAGATATCCAGAGAAGTGTCTGAAGCTTGGCTGTTTCTGAAGTCCGGGGAGGAACTTTACCTCGTCTGCAGCCGGTGCTGCCATGACAACCAGCAGAGAGGAGAGGAAATAACACAACAACAGCACCATCTGAAACACAACAACAACAACATCTGAAACACAACCGGAAGCAACACAACAACATCATCACAGCCTGCATCTGAAACACAACAGGAAGTGATTTACTATCATCCGAACCGATCACAAGAAGCTACTGATTTCAACATGTTTCTGTAGTCATGACTTATTTAATGACAACGGAAGAGGGTTAGAGCCAAATGAGAAACACAACATTGGAATGTGATCAAAAAAAGTGAACATTATGAAAGAAAGTCAGAAGTCCGAGAAAGAAAGTCAGAAGTTCTGAAACTGAACATTATGGAAAAAAAATATTCTGAGAAAGTAAATTCTGAAAAAGTTCATAATTCGGCAAAACTAAAAAAAAGAAACAGGAAAAGTAAAGAATCGGAAATTACAGTAAAACTTCTGAAAAAAAGTAAAAAAAATCTGAAAAAAGTACAAATTCTAAGAAAATGCCAATTTGGCTCCATTTTGAGATTCTAGTATTGTTTATTTCTACTTATGTGCAATGCCCAAAACATTTCCTAATTTGGGATCAATAAAGTACTTAAAGTAGTAAAAAAGTAGAAGTAAAAATTCTGAGAAATGATTTTGACTTTTGGGTCACATCAATAAACGGTTTCCTTATATGGCCCTTATCCTCTTCCGTAAATCACAGTTAGCCCAGTGAGGTTATGAATAACAAAACACCAGAGAACCCAACAGCCAGCAGAGGGCGGGACAGATCTGAAGAGACAAACAGTTAGTCAAAACTTCCTCTTAACTCAAGAGGAAGTTTTGAGGTTCATTTTCTAACCTCTGCAGAATCAGTTCGAAACTGTTCAGATTAAGTTTGACTGAAAAACCGGTTTCAGCCGCTGAGAAATACACGTTTAAACCTTTATATACAGTCTATGGTTTAAACCTGGAGGGAGTCTGAACAGTTACAGGGAACAGCAGCTACTGTCAGCTCACACACACTAAAGTTACATTTAAACTAAACACACGGTTCCACACAGACACACACGTACGTTTCTGTCAACGTTTACAAACCCGGAAGCCGGTTAGCTATCGATGCTAACAGCTAGCACACAGACAGAATAGTTGATTAGAAGAAAAGCTGAAGAGTTTCGAGACACACTCACCTTTCTGTCTTTCTGTCTGTCCACTTCAGCAGGTGGACTTCATGTGACTGACTGCAGCTGACAACAGTGAATAATAAAGACGGCAGGTCACATGACGTCAGGTCACATGATCCCCGCCCACGTCACCCTTTTTATTTTTTGGTAGGAACTAGAACCAATCCATCCCATAGTAAACAGCTGTACATTATTTGGATTTCATAGCCTATTGGTATTTTATCAAGCACTTTATCAGGTGCTCAAAGACGCTTTACTGAGGTAAAGATATTTTATAAGATAAAAAGTTAAATAAACCGAGCAATAAAACCACAAGGTCTGTGTTTTGTAATGTCAATGTAAATACTGCTATATTTTACTGTATTTTTTCATATTATTATAGTTTTCTTAAAATAGTTTTCTATCTGTGTATTTCTTTATTTTTGTTTTACTTTTATGTATGCATGACACCAAGTCAAATTCATCGTACGTGTCAACCTACCTGGCAGGCCCGGTTCTACGGGGGTGCATAAGGATGCATTGCACCCTCAGTTGAGACGTTATGCATCCTCATTTGAAAAATGATTTTTTATTTATTTAAATATTACATATAATAACAATAATAATAATAGTAGTAATAATAATAAAAAAGAATATAGTTGAAATAAAATAAATTGTAATTGTGGTTAAATAACATTGTCTGCTGCATTTATTTGGTCTATTTAAACGGTAAGTAACGTTATTATGTCAGGAGGTGCGCGTGACCTGTGCCGCTGCGCGTTCATCATCTGCAAGGTGCTTACACAGCAGTCAATGATGGACATCAGAAAATGGTTAAAACAACCAGCTCTTATCGCCAGCAGTAACACTGCATCTACTGCAGGTAACAACAGTTCAGATCATGGGGACATTACGTTACCCGCAGTCCTCCCGCCCGACTCGCCGGCTTTGCCCGCCTCGCCCACGGAGGCGGAGCAGCCGCAGCCGTCTTCGTTGCCCCAAACACCGCCACCCCTCAGTGGCCTGCAAGTGCCAGAGGACCTCGGCAAAACAGAGCCTGCCCAGGTATATTTAAAAAGTACCCAACTCACTTGTACAGTGGGGTAAGGCGCTCATTTTGCAGCTTATGGTTTCAAAACAGAGATTGGCTGGAATATTCATGTAAAAAAGATGCCATCTTCTGCATGTAGACATTTCGGTCTTGAAAGGGGAGTGATTTGTAAAATATCCATAAAGAAAAAGTAAATCTGTTTACAGTTCTGTTTCATATGGGTATCCATAGATCTCTTAATGTTGCTCTCACAGTGCACCAGATTGATGCTTTTAACTTCAATACTCTAATAAAATTCTTCCGGGGGGAGCAAGCCCCCGGACCCCCCTAGAGGAGATGAGGACCCCCCTAGAGGGTATTAGGTCCACTCACCACTTATAAAAATAGCCCTTTACCACTACACCCTCTGGACAGGTGCACATAGAAGACAAGAATACACACACACACACACACACATTGACAAGACTATAAAGTAAAGTGCATACTGATTCTTAACATGTTTTGTCCATGACTTATTTAATGACTACGGAAGAGGATTAGAAACAAATGAGATTTTTAAAAAAGAGGAGAAAGAAACTTAGAAATTCTGAAAAAAGTGAACATTATTGAAAAAGTCAAATGTCTGAGAAAATTGATAAAAGAAAAGATTCTGAAAAAAGTACAATATTCTGAGAAAATAATGTTAAAATTCTGGAGGGAAAAAAAGTTAAAAGTCTGAAATTAAAGTCAGAAAAAATATTTGGACTTTTGGTATCGTCCCATGACGGTGTCCTTATATCTGTCGAGACGAAAGTCAGTAGGCTGTTTGAGGCGAGCTGCAGCTCGCCTCGAAAGTAGACGAGAATAGCCGATCGCAGCCGGGGGAGGTCTCAAAAAGCTCGCCTGAAGTCGGACAGCTCGGAGTCGGCTTCGTCTTCTTCTTCTTCTTCTAAGATATATAAAGTATGAAACGGTAAGCAATGCAAGTATAGTATAAAAGATATAGATATTAATTTCATGATGATAAATATTGTGGAACAATGATGAAAAATGGGAATGGATGTGGCGACGTAAAACTGACACAAAACAACAACAAACTTTTGCCGAGCCAATGGGAGAGTTTCATCAGCAGCACGGGGTAAAAACCACCAATGAGCGCTCAGCTCGAGATACCAGCGAGTCGTTTCCCATCAAGCATTTCGCTTCCGCAGCCCGTGGAGAGGAACTGCGCCGCCTCGCCTCGCCGCGCCTCGCTCTCAAGGCTGCGGGCGTGTTTGTCCCGCGAGATTTCAACGTAGCAAGTCGGACAAAATGACTAACCATCATGCAACGCACTAGCAAGACGTTGATCGCAACTGCGCAGGTCTCGCTTGTCTCAAACAAGCCTAGTATAAAAAGGAAACAAATAATATCTGATGAAAACGGATGGACAAATAATTATGTGTATGTATTTTCATTTAGATTATTGTTATTATAGGTGTTTAATACCAAGAGGTGGTATTCGTTTTTATTTTGAATAGCGTAGGCTACTTTTTATCAATGAGAAGCGAGCTGTCATTAAAAATAATTAATGCAGCTTCCGGTAACACGGCAACAAAAGGGGCGGAGTTTGTGATGGCCGGTCTCTTGTTCCCAAAGCCACGGAGGGAGGAGTTGGCGACAGTAGGCTTGTTTGAGACAAGTGTATGGAGTCAGATTTGGGTCAATATTCTAGCGCGTAAAACAAGCTACTCACGAGCGGAAAATGTGCTTTTACACGCGCATAAAATGACCCTCGCGCGCAGATTAAACCCCCGCGAGCGGCTCTGCGCCCGCGAGTGGCTCTACGCTCGCTCGCGAGAGAGACAGCCCTCTTTCTATGGCGTTATATTTGTGCCTCTATCCTGAGTGCGCACTTGAAAAATGTTGAGCACAGAGAAATATATTTTCTCTCGTAAAACTCCTGCTCCGTGCGCAAGCAGACCGCTGCACGCGCTCTCTCTCCCCCGCTCGCTCGACCTCTCCAGCCTGCGCGCGCTCAGCTTTGCCTGCGCGCGCTCAGCTTTGCCTGCGCTCGCTCAAGTTGTCACAGCGTTACAAATGTGCCACAAAACCAACCAATCGGAGAACTCGAGAAGGTCAATTCTGATTGGCTGGTCGTCTCCAATCATATCTTCTATCTGAGATGAGAGAGGGATTTTCGGTTGCCATCAGGCTGTTGACGTTCTTATTACACATCTATCGTTGACATTTACAGGACATGACAGACTCGATGAAGAGAATAGCACGCCACAGTATCAGGTGAGTTATACCTTTCTAGTTTTCTGATATCACGTTATTGTTTGCAATGCCTGAGTTTGTTAGCCGGCAACATAGCTATAGGGGTAGTTTAAGCAAACCGCTAACAAACCGTAGCATACATGTAGCTACATGAACCCTTCTGAGGTATTGATTACTTGCTGTAAGCATTAGATGTGGCAGAATGACAAAACATGTTTCTCTCTCTATCACAATGTTGGGTTGACCAGAACCTGTACCAACTTCTGTTTGCTGTTCTACAATGGGCATATGCTTGCGTTAATTTTCAACCGGACAGATGAGGCTAGGATACCGGCTAAAGTTAGCAACACACGTTAACCACGAACAGCCTATTAATCTGTTCTCTTAATGTTATTTCTTCCAACGTTGTGGAATTAGAGAAAAGGGGCTTCTTAACGTGCTTTTATCCGGGGTGGAGGGAGTTACATATGAGTTAAATATAACATTGGGCGTGTGATTGTAGTGGGTGGAGTAGGTGAAATGAGGATATCCATTTTGGAGTTCCAGCTAGTATAATATAGTTAACGTTACACAATAATAAGGAAGAGAGCTATTTTTGTGATACATCGCCATTGATATGGATTTAGAGTGGATATTTGAGACTTCCAAACAGTAAACAAAAACGTAACTTATGGGTGAGTGTTTTTAGCAGAGTCATATTATGTCCTTGTGATTCTGTTGATTATTACCTGTCTGTATTATGTTGCAGCTCAGCTGATGTTGGATTGATGGCAAAGGGAGAGGGACTTAAGTGAGAGTGAAAACACAAGGTACGTTTAAAATAGGTCAGCAATTTCCCATCCTATAGGTTGCTAGATGTATCTAACCCTTTCTCCTGTCTCCCTCTCTCAGCACAAGAACCCCAGGGGGATTCAATGGAGCCTGAAGACCTGCACTGAGACCCTCACCCTGAGCCTGAGTCTCAACTCCCAGAGCTTTGCAAGCCTCTCCCTGTTCCTTATTTTGATTAAACAGACATTAAGCTTCCCAATGGTGTGGTCTTCGTTTTGTGAAAAATATGATTACCTCACATATGTTGTTGCTGATGTTCAGGTGTATATCAGTATGTGGTGTCTCTACTTTAAAGAGTCCTCTCCTGCTGATGTTCAGGCGTATATCAGTATGTGGTGTCTCTACTTTAAAGAGTCTTCTCCTGCTGATGTTCAGGTGTATATCAGTATGTGGTGTCTCTACTTTAAAGAGTCCTCTCCTGCTGATGTTCAGGTGTATATCAGTATGTAGTGTCTCTACTTTAAAGAGTCCTCTCCTGCTGATGTTCAGGTGTATATCAGTATGTAGTGTCTCTACTTTAAAGAGTCCTCTCCTGCTGATGTTCAGGTGTATATCAGTATGTATTGTCTCTACTTTAAAGAGTCCTCTCCTGCTGATGTTCAGGTGTATATCAGTATGTAGTATCTCTACTTTAAAGAGTCCTCTCCTGCTGATGTTCAGGTGTATATCAGTATGTAGTGTCTCTACTTTAAAGAGTCCTCTCCTGCTGATGTTCAGGTGTATATCAGTATGTAGTGTCTCTACTTTAAAGAGTCCTCTCCTGCTGATGTTCAGGTGTATATCAGTATGTAGTGTCTCTACTTTAAAGAGTCCTCTCCTGCTGATGTTCAGGTGTATATCAGTGTGTGTAGTGTCTCTACTTTAAAGAGTCCTTCCTGCTGATGTTCAGGTGTATATCAGTATGTAGTGTCTCTACTTTAAAGAGTCCTCTCCTGCTGATGTTCAGGTGTATAGCAGTATGTAGTGTCTCTACTTTAAAGAGTCCTCTCCTGCTGATGTTCAGGTGTAG